TGTGTATGTTTCGTGGGCTTTAAAAAGTGAAGGGGTTAGTAGTAAGAACGGCGTGTTTCTTTGGCATTCAGTCACTTTCTTACTACCCAGCTGCTGTATTTTTAATGCCTTATGTAAACACATTCAGTTGCCTTTGGGCATTGCTATGTAAACTTGTCTTGCCTTTCTTTGGTCCAGTAATTTGAACATGGTTTGCATCAATGTAATGTTTCTGGTTTCATTGTGCTCTGGTGCAGTCAGTGTATTGGTTATTTGCTTGCTGAGAGTTAGATGAGAAGCCAGTTATCTTAGCTTGGCATAAAGACTGTGAAAGAGGTCTTAACAGTAGTAATTCTCCCGTACACTGTAGGACCCACTTCTTAACACACCAACTCATCATTGAATAATTCTGAGTACTACCTGCTTTTAGTCCTTTAGCTTAAAGTAATCTTAGGTGGTCCATGACAAGTCATAGCTCTCTGAATGATCAACTGTATTCTGTATCAAAGGCTCTTGTTATAAGGAAAAGACCAAAGGGGCTAAAGAGGAGACGGCCGGTTATACATCATAAAGCCATTCTTCAAAAGCATTCTCTAAAAGCCAGACACTTCTAGTATCTTTGGCCCATTTTAAAGGCTAATCTACCAAAACTGTAGCCCCCAGTCATTTTAAGTGTGACTAATAACACACGTAATGGAGCTATGGAAAGTGAATGAATTGCTCTAATTATCACAATGCATAATGAACAAGGCATAGAAACATTAACTTGTATCAATTAATTGTCATATCAGCATTTGAGTGACAAAACTGAACAGATTATTTACAGGGTTAGACTACACAACCATTCTTTGTCTCATCTGAGCTATTTTGTGCTTTCTGTTGGTTAGACGTGGTTCAAGGGTAGGTAAATTCAACTCTAATCCCATCTAATCCTACCTTAATCCATGTTTTCAGAGTAAACACAGTCTTCTAATACATTTAAAATGGGAGGCCAGTAATAATAGGACCTCACACACATTTTTCAGAAGCTCAATTAGGTTCTGTCTGTCATTCATGTTCACAAAAACAAACATGAACTGTGCCGGCATGGACGTATTGACCGCTTTCAGTAGCAATTTCCTGGTAGAATACTGCAGAGGCTGACAGGCTACACACTTTGAATGCTGGGTAATGAGAGGGCTTTCAACATTATTTGCCTTTCCAGAGTGCTGGGCTAGAGATCTACCTCTATTCCCTTATGAGAGGTCAGTGTCTGGCCGGTGTGATTTACACCATCTGGGTGCTACAGAGTGGAGCAGCGCTGACGTGATTCCTCCTCTGTGTGTGGAGTTTAAATCTGGAGACGGCAGTTCAATCAGTGTTTCACCTTTTTCACATTACTGCATGTCTCGCCGTCCTCTGGCCTCTGTCTGCCTTGACTTTATAGCTTTGGTCCCCTCTCTTTCTGGACTTCTCATGTATTGGAACTGGACTATATGGCACTAACCAAAAGGTAGGATCCTGCCTGAAGGAAAGCTTCACATCCTGATTCTTGTACACAGACACAAACATACACATACAAAAGCTTCCAAATGTACAGGTGATCCAACTGGAGCTCATCCAGCACAGGGGGAATATGAGCACTTTGCATATTGAGTGCACGACTTGATACATATTGGATTTGAGATAAAACAGTGACTATGCACTATGAGGGCCAACTCCCATATTAAAACTGAAGGTACTTACATCCACTCTGCGTGGACAGTACAGGAACTGCAGCCCCATCACTGTGAGCTTTTCAAAATGCAGGGGCTATGTCCAGGAAAAAAAAGGATATGATTACAGCGCTGTTCAAACCAATATGATGTGAACACCCTCAAACACCCTTAAAGCTGTAACTTAGCTCTTGAACCCCAGTCAGGATATCATTTGAAATCCAATGTGCTGGAGTCCCGAGGAGCCAAACTGACTGGAAATGTGTCACTGTCTACAAACTGCACTGCAGTATCAAAAGCAGACCTCAACGCCACAGTCCTGGCAGGACTTCAGTCGGTTCTTTGGGACTCAGATGTTTCTGTTCTTTTCCCTTCACTCTCCGAACTTCACTGGGACAGACAGGGGCTGAGTCCCTTCAATAAAAAAAGTGCTGAATGTGGGCTTTGAACGTATCTGAACATGTGGGAAGTGGGAAGCCCCCCACTCTCCTGCACCAATAACATCAAATTCATCTATACACCAAAGGAAAGTTAGATCTTGTGAAAGAGTGTGGTAAAGTATTACATTTCTCAGTTTGCCACTTGAATCCCTTCAGGCATGAAGGGATGAATGCCAAAGCCATTTGACTGACAGATTAATCTGTGATTGCAGCAACATACACTAAGTTAAATGGATTGTGCAGGATGGAGCCCACATACAGGTTGATCCCCTTTGTGTACTCCACCCACTCCTATAAATTAGATTCAAAAACAACATGATAAATGTAATATTGTGCTATTATTTTAGGCCTCTGATACAGAAATCAAGAGAATACTGGCATGAACAAGCCTGTTACTTGACCTATACAGTAATATTCACATCTGCATAGAGTTACAGAAGCCAGTATCATCATTGCACTCCCAAAAACACATGGAAGTAAATGACTCTTTCCATATTCACGAATATTAAATCATGACTCCTGATACACGACAGAGCATCCGGATGATACATTTCAAACATTTCACATGTGGCTAACCTGTCGGGGTCAAACATATCTCCTGCAGAACGTGAAAACATCTAATGGTGAACACACACTTCACCACTGCATCACTCACAAATAATCCTGTGCAAAAACAATGTCTGCTCTCATCATCAGGCTCCATGATTAGTTAGTGAATGTGGAAGGCCCCGTGGGATCTTGCCCACTGCCAATTTACAAAGACACTAAAGCAGCAATCTATCCAAAAAAAAAAATAAAAAAAAATGGCACGTGGTCGCACGTGTTCCCCTGATTACATAACAACTCCTGCGGCTGACGATGTGTAGCTGACTGATCCTGTTCACTATAGAACAGCCTTGACAGCCAAAGCCGGTGGATTTCCCCATATTACATGATAGACATGGACTACACCATGATCTGTCTCCCTGTCTGAGGCTCTTTATTGTCAAGTTGGCAGCTTGTCTTTTTTGGCTTAAAATAACATTTGCATAATGGCTCATTACCTATTTAAAGCGCCGCCTCAGTATCTTACACACTCGCTGTTAACCTACAGTAAAAACTCTAGAGATAGCAGCAGTCACACTTATCTGAAGTGCCGGTGAAAAGGCTAATCTTAAAAAGGAAAATTAAAGTTTCTATTCAGCTCAGCTGGTCGCAGCTTAGCTGTTCAGGTATGGAGCTTAAAGAGGACGACCAAACAGAGCCGACTGTCAAAGAGTGGCAGAGTGGGGCGAGCGGGGAGAAGAAAGCCTGCAGAAAGAAAAGGGGGATTAGAAGATCTTCTCCAAAAGTCCTGACAGCACATTTTCACAATGCTGGGCCAGGCTTTCAACAGCTCTAGTCCAAGGGCTAGTTTTCAAGCAGGACAGATCAAGCTTTCTTTAGCGCCTGCGTTTCAACAAAAGGAGACTTTTCCAATTGTCCTACTGCTTCCAGGTGTTGTTTAAATATCTTGCTCGAGAATGTTGTACATGGGCAACACACATTCTCGGGAGCTGATATGGCAAGAAAACATGTCGTTATCAGAGATTTGACTGTCTGCCATGAGCACATAGGATCGCAGCCCCTACCAGCTTTATATACACCATGTTATTCAGAACGTGGCGATTTAAAGACGCTCCGGTCCACTGGTCAAGCTTCCCACGATCAGGGTGGAGCACGCCTCTCCCCTCGCTTGATGCAGAGCCAAAACAAGCTGACCTCCCTCCGAGAAGCCCCCCCGTCAGCAGGAAGGAAGTTTCCTGTTGTCAGAAAGAGGAGGTCACATTGTGTGTCCCCTGCTATTTCCAGAAACTGGCAACATATGTCAATACACAACGCTCTGGCATGGAGATTCAGTCGTTGGGAAAATGCTGGGCGTCTTGCAAGACCAACTTCACACTGGCAGGTTTCCAGTGCAGGTATTTCATCTAGTCTCAGAGTGTTACGACCCGGTGAGCAGACATTGGCCTTGAACTGCATGATCATGGGATCCCATAAGTTGTAATTGCACAAATAAAGCAGTAAGTAAGCCGGATCTGGCCGGAGCGTGAGGTGGACTCTTTATCCTGCACTTTGGCCCTGGGCTGAGCTTTTCATGAACGGGTTCTTGATTTCAGGAGTTTATTGATGCACCTCTGCACCAGGAGAACGTGAGCACGACTGCACCTGTGCACACAACCACCACTGACTCGAGTTCGAAAACATCCTCTGGTAGAGCAGCAGCAAAGAGGAGACAGGAGGGGATGCCACACCGCCAATGACTACATCACGTTAGTAGTGAGCTAAACATAACATACGGAGGGGGATGGGGCGGTACTAGTCAGATTACCTCATCTAGCGCAAATTGTGTTATCATAACCCCTGTGGGCTGAGCTCTGTGCGAAAGAAATGCCAACATATTTTGAAGACACAGCTATGAGCAGTCAGCTGATGATGATGATGATGATGCCGGTGTTTGGTTTTCATCATCAAGCTCTGCAAATAGGTGAATCATCTTTCATTGTTACTCAGATCAAATCTGGGTTAGGGGTTTAGGTGTTAAGCTCGTGGACCACATCAAGGTTGCGTTAGCCTTATGGTGTGAGGACTGTCTGTATCCGCACCTCCTAATGGATTGTTCAGAATTCATCCAACAAATGCATTCCCTAGCAAGCTCTCCGTGGCTTTACCTTAATTGCAACACTGTTTCTCAACCCCCCAAAAAAGGTGCCATGCAACTCTAAAGTTAACACCAGCGAGACGGCGTTTTAAATGATTTTGTTACAACGTGACAAAGGGCATGAATGACAAGGCATTCCTGTAGTGTTTCCTTTAAAGATAAGACTCAGCTCTAAGGTAGACTGAAGGACCGCTAATAAGGACTTACATGTTGCTCCTGGCAGAGTGTTTTCCTCCATTTCGGCGGTAGTACCCTCGCTTTCTGTTCTTTTGTTCATTCAAACATGCGAGTTTCGGGTCTCCGGCAATCCTCTCATTCCTCAGGCAGAATGGGGGGGACGGGGAGGGGGGTGAAACTTGCTCCAGTTGCACCCGACGTCCTGAACGAACCGGGCAGAAAAAAACTCCCGAGAGCGTCCAGATAGAGCAGAGATAGAACCCAAAAAAATAAAACCCAGCCAGTACCAGCCTGTTGACTGGGGCACCGGTGGCTGCGGCTGCTCCTGTGGGAGAGGTTAAAGAGAAAATAAAGGTGTCTGAGGGAATTTGGGGAGAGAGAAAGCAGGGGAGGAGGAGTGAGAGAAGTTTCTCACTCTCCGACACACTACAGCTGATGCTGTGCTCTTGCTAATGGTCCCTCGCTGGCCTCCGGATCGGACTGTACCATTACCAAGAGGGGGGTGCGGCTGCTACCTATAGTTTTGTTCGTTAAATACAAGCTAGATTTAACACGATGGAAGAGAGATGCAGTAGCTGCTGGTGTTACAATATACCTGGATTATGATCCTAAAACGAACGTTAGTGATAAAAACGCATTTCTTTATGAGAAGAATATAATTGCTCCCTTCCGAACTGACTGGTTCTTTCACCCACGAAACTACAACGCTCACACAGCCAGGTCACAGTTCACATTCAGTATAGACCTTTTCATTGGAGAACCTTTGACCAGCATGCTTGCTATATTTTCTGGGCTGTTTTTGTCATTGCCTATAGTTGCTTAAATCCAGTATTAAGTAAAGATTGGTCTGTCTCTCAATATGACAAATTATTATATTCACACCTGAGGTCCCTATAACTTTTCTGTTACACCAGCATACTAGGATTTCACATGTTTTTATTGGATAAATAAAAGACATTCATTTACTCTGAATAATTCTTAATAATATTTACTCATCCAACTCCAAGTGGGTAAATCAGCATAGGAAGGAAAATGAGAGGTAGTCCACACACTGGTTACTGCAACCTCCCAAAAACATTTTTAAGCATGGTTTGTTTCAATCTAAGCTTCAGGTTTTGCTGAAACAAAATACACATAAATATAGAAACCAGAAAACATCACCCTAAAATCTTTAGAGGCCCTTTACTGAGAATCCTTCTGAATCATTTAAAATAAACCCAATGTTTTCCTGCTTCTACGATATCTGGGGAATTACAAGTGGATGCACTGTGTCATTTTAAAGGTTTTAAATGTCATAATGCCTTCAAGGTAACGGCAGCCTCTTAGTGTCTACACCTATGACACAATATGTAGGCCTACTGTTAATAATTTGTCAGAGTAGATAGGTTGTACATGCATGTCATTTCAGTGTCAAGAGAACACTAGGCTTTCCTGTCAGCCTGGTTTTTGTTTTGGATGATGGATGTTTGATTTGTTAAACAAGTTACTCCACCCAAGACAGAGCTACTGACATATATTAACTCAGAGACAACACAACCCAGTTTAAAACATCAAACTTATTAAATCTTCGTTACATAACACTTTTAAGTTCTGCAGAGTGTCTTCCCGTCTGCCACCTGTGGATCTCTCACAGCATCTGCCAAGGTGGGGGCTGGGCCAGGGGCTGATCGGCACGCTTGAGAGGGGACACCCCGTCAAAAGGACCCCAGTGGGGCTCTTTTGTGCAGCTGTTGAGTCGTGTTCACCAAAACCCCCAAGAGCCACCTGTCACTGCAACTGGAAAGTGGGGGATGTTGATGAAGGTGGGGGTTGGGTGCTGTAGAGTGTGTGGTTGATGGGTTTTTCAGACATAAAGCAGAAAGAGTGAGGGTTTAATGTGCGTGTCTCAAAGTCTACTTGTACTTGTTATCACATTCTTAATTGTCCCTGATGAATTCATAACATGATTCAAAGAAATGGTTTTGTCAAAGATCCCAGTATCCCTGAAGTCATTACAGTCTGTTGATTCAATAACTATCTGTAATTAAATCACAGATAAGTATGGTATTTCATTTACTAAAAAAATAGGAGCAATTAAGAGTTAAGTTTCCCCTCCTTTCAAGTCAAGGAAAGATTAAAGGAGAGCAGGAAATGTCTTTGAGTGCTAATGAAAGATCAATGGCTTCATACCTCAACCAAAAGTCAAGATTTAGAGAAAATAGAAGCTTTGGTAACAGTAGAAGCTGATTTACTCTTCAGAAAACCCAAAAACAATGGAGCTGGATCTAAGAGGGTTAAAATGCAGAGAGCAGTGATGTATTTCTCTCATGAACTGAACATCATTATCTCTTCTTTATGCTGATCTCAGTTATATTGTGCAAATATGAAACAAAAGCTGAAATAATTTATTCTGGAGAATAAAATGTTTTCCTGCTTCCTTTTGCACTCAAAATATAATGGGGAAAGTAAAGAAAATGCTTCAGAAATTGTAAACATTAACTCTACTTTTCAAGTGCTCTGCAGATGGATGTTTTTAGATCTTTTGTGCTACCTCTTTAGCCAATGTATTGAAACCCTCAAATCCTTTCATCCTTTCAGTCTCATCTCTATACCCTGCTCTTGAGCCAACACATGCACACGCTTGCACACCAACACCTGTGCACACAAAAAACTGTTTTCTGAAAGAAAAGAAGGTATTTTGAATCAACAGCATATGTCAAACTGATGTTGGTGAGCTTGATGTCTATTTTTGCAGGGACATGTCATACTGGTGTGTTGGTGTCAAGCTTTGTTGAGAAATAGGAGTATGACTATAAACAGATACAATGACCTGCAAAATTGGATGAGGGACAAATCAATACATTTACTTTCTGCAAGTTGAAAGCAAGCATTTTTTTTGACTGAAATTAAAAGCAACATTAATTTTAAAATAAAACATGTCAACATGGTGGGTGCATTTTTTAACTATAATATGTTACTGAAAACAAGGTAACCTTTCCTTTTTAAAGAACACGGTGACAGTGTTACAAATACACCATTACTATTCAGCCTTGCACACTAAACAGTAGACCAGGTGTTTGAGCCAACAGTCTGATAGGAAAATTAAAGGACTCGGGATAAAAGCATACCTCAAACTCAGGAGGCGTGTGTCCATTTATCACACATCACTGTACCATGCTGTGCTAATGAGCCATTCAAAGTGAGGTGGATGCAGATAGGAGAAAATGCCACAGTTGGTCTCCATTAGCAGCACTTTAGATGTGCTGAAATGTTGCATGTCTTCGTAAAGTTCTGCAGACTGAAACAGTGACTGATGAAGATAATGTGAACAGAACTACACTCTGGTGCCCTTATCTGTCTTTCTACTTATACCCCTCTCTCCTTTTATTGTTTTGAGTTCATGCCAAGTTCTGTGTGCAACCTGTGAACCTGTGTCGTCTCCATTTGCGAGCCACTTGTGTGACCTCACTGCACACAGGAAGTGGAGGACCCCCTCCTTCTCTATCCATCCCTGAGTGTTCAAGAAAGGACTTGATTTTGGAGCTGCAGCTGCACTCCTCACTTAACACACAGAGACCCCCATACACACACACACATCTCATTAAACTGCCACTGATCGCCGTAAGCAGTTCATGCCATGAAAAAAGACAGTTAACAGAGAGCAGTGGGAAAAAGAGAGTAAACAAAAATCCTTACCACTGAGAGGATGTGATTGCGTCAGTAAATACACATACCGAAAACCAGGGAAACCAACTGGAGAGATAGGAAAGCAGAGGGAAAAAAGCTCAAAAGAAAAGGAAGAAGGACTTGGGATCCAGTAACAGACTCTACAGCACAACTGATACCGCAGAAGAAAAAAGAGCTACTGATGGGGGTTATCTGTGTAAAGATAGCATTTTAAACCCTGATGTGTCCCTTTCTTTGCACCTCTTTGTGTACTGTGCTGTTTGAGCAGGAACCAAGTACAGGAAGGAGGTACAGTCCATACTATGAACTAAACAAAAACCTGTGTAAGGCCCAGGTGTTCAGGAGAGGAAAGAGCACCACATCCTGCTCGAGAGGAAGTAATGTTACTTGATTTAAATACCACGTCCAGTCAGTCGATGTCCTTCAGCGCAGAGCATCATACCATCTTAGTTTAGCATGTTAGCACGCTATAATTAGCAATTAGCACTAAACACAAAGTACAGCTGAGGCTGATGGGAATGTCATTAGTTTAACAGATATTTGGTCATAAACCAAAGTACTGGACCAATTATTATTTTGACCTGAAGAAATAAATATTAAGGGGTCACCCTTATTACAATTCATCCTGAGGGTGAAATGAATGGCTTTACCAAATGTTATGGCAACCCATCCAATAGTTGTTGAGACATCCAACCACAAATGTTAACCTCATTGTGGCATGACAGGAAGGTCAGTAGGCGTCATCCTCTGAGGACCATGCGAAAGACGTCAGTCCGTCTAGTAATTGTATTTTGTATTGTGTGTTACTTAGACCGCCCCACTGGCTGTGACCACGTCAGATGTGGCTGGCAAAGATGCAAGTCTGCACCATTGCAGTTAATTAGCAAACTTAGATCTCACCAACAACTACTGAGGTTGATTAAGACAGGCTGTAGCTTTGGTTGTTATGATTATGGCAATGACACATTTGTTTATAATGGGTGTAACACTAACTATATGCTGAGGTTGTATGTGTGCAGTAGATTGGTTGTGCTGATTATTGTATTGAGGCACCAGAAAACAAATATCAAATCTTGTTTAGCTTAACAATGGCTGATGTTGAAGTAGTCGCAGGACAGCTAGAGCCATTTCCATAGCATCATAGATTCAACCACAAATGCAGCCATAGCCTGACATAGCAAAACAGTTGTAGAACCTACCAAAAAGATTATTGCATCATCACTTTTGCAAAAGATAAAGCTCCTATATTTCCTATTCCAAGGAACATGGTCACCACCAGCACCGCCAGTCAGTCTAGAGGTCAGCCACTGTGAATGGTAAGGGTAACCCTCGGCCTGGTAATGAAACAACAATAGCAGGAATGTTCAGAATGTCCCTTGAGAACATAGACACAGCCTATGTTATAGACTACTGAATACACTATCTCTGCCTTTAGCAAATGGTAGGTAGCAGTATGTAAGCAGCAGGGGTGGGGTAGCATAAGGGAAGGGTGGATATGAAGCGAATTAACTATGATGGATTTACTGCTGAAATATGTTAGTTTGCACTTCTAGCTGAAACATTTAGCTAAGACAGTTTTGCACATAACATATGAATGTCGTCAGTAGAGCTTGGGTTAGGGTAATTGCTGGTTCAGTTCGCTGTCAGGTCTCAGAAAGCAACACTATTTTGGTCACCACTGTCTTGTTTTAGAAGGGTTAAAGGTCACATGCACCTGCAGGGGGGCTGTAGATTCAAATAATTTATGACTGTGTTGTCTTTTGTTTCCTATAGTG